ATAACAGAAAACAGTTAGAACAATATTGAACAACTGTGTAGCCTTCCACCTCTTCACCTTTCTGTAACAAAATCTTCCATAAATATCAAGTTTTCATTAAGACTAATCAAACATGAGCGTATATTGTATCTCAATACCTCATCATGGAAAAGAAACAGAAATTCAGTTTCTCACATTTAGATTGTAAGCATTAGGCAGTTCTTCTGTTGAATTGCCACCATTGCTCAGGCAGGGCACTGGCTCCCTCCTATTTAATTTATCCAGGGAAATGTACTGTGCCTGACACATATTCAGACTATTTAAGAAATGAGATGCTTTCAACCAAGTATCTGTATGTTAATTTCAAAGATTGTTCCCAGTGAGGTGAGGACCTCCCCAGCCCTATCAGAATTTAAGAGTTCCTGGACAGTATTTCCAGTGCAGCTTTCACTTAAAGAGCTAATTGACAAGAGTGGTACCTTATCAGTGAACAGAATTTTCAAAAAATTACAAAAAATGGGTCACTTTTCCACGGCTCTAAAGATATATGCTGTGATAGTCACCAAGATAACTATGATCCTATTAGAATTTGGGTTGGAGATCAGGCTGTGTGCCTAATTTAACTTTGTTTTGGCACTGACATCTTGGCACATTGTATACACTGCAGTTTATGTTCCTACCTGATGTCCGTTTGGCAACTAGTTTTTCTCTCCACAAGCTCTGCTGATGGGTTTCATTGTAGAACTCAGTGGGATCTGTGATTGGATGCCAGAAAGTTAGTGCTGCTTTAACCTTTTATCATTCTTCACTTACTTTTCCTTTAATTTGAAGGTGTTTTTGTGACTTTGTTGAGATGTTTTTAATTGTCCATTGTGTTTCTGTAACTAATCAGAATTTATAAGCAGCATAAAGAAAAATTCCACAAAAATGAATGGAGTTGATTGAATTGTTCAACGTTCTAAAGAATGAGGTTTTCAATTATTTGTTATGGATCCAAATTGAAACCCTTTCTCATGTGAGGTTTCAGAGTAGCAGCCATGTTAGTCTGTATTCACAAAAAGAAAAGGAGTACTTGTGGCACATTAGAGACTAACCAATTTATTTGAGCATAAGCTTTCGTGAGCTACAGCTCACTTCATCGAGTAATCCCAGAGATTTCAATGGGATCATTCTTGGGAGTGGCAAGTAGTTGCGTAAGGGTTTCTGTATTGTGCTATGTGGGTGTTTCTCTCCACAGTTATGGTGAGGGGAAAAAGAGTTATAAACTATATAGATTTGAATATGGGCTTGCTGGGAGCTGCTGTCCTCAGGGAACAAGAATTATGTTGGTAATACAGCATTTGAACAGCTTTAAAGACACATATGAGGTGGAAGATTAAATCTAGTAGCTCAAGGTAAATAGGAAAGGTGTGGGTGAGGGCCCCATCCCTGAAGTCAATGGACAATGCTTTGGTGAAAATGGAATTCTCTTGCCCTTTTTGTCAATTTCATGGATGCCCACAGGGCTCTGAATAGCAGCTATTAAATTGACTATAGTTTTCTTGTGTTTTTAAAGAAATTGTATATTCTACAGAAATTGATACCTTAGGCTTCCACACTTATTAGGAAAACTTCCCCTTACTATTGGTGATTGGGTAAGTGAATTTTTCAAGCTTTGGAGTAGTAGTTTCATTATTTTTCTTTCTTTATTCAAATCAGGTAAAATACAGACCAGGAAATACATAAGCTACATTGACTATTGTACTACAATGAAAAGTGTGCGTAAACATACTAGTTCTTCTTCGAGTGCTTGCTCATGTCCATTCCATATTAGGTGTGTGTGCTCGCCAGATGGCAGAACTTTTCCACTCAGCAGTATCCGTAGGGGACCGGCTCTGGTGCCCTCTGGAGTGGCGCCCGCATGGTGTGGTATAAGGGGCGCCGCCAGCTCCCCGCACCCTCAGTTCCTTCTTGCCACCAGCGATGGTGCTGGAACATCTGCTGCTTTGGCTAGCGTTTCGTTTTCTATTCTTGTGAACTTTGAAAACATGTAATATAGTTGTATATAATTAGTAGTTTCTTAGTTACCCTTAGTAGTAGTTCTCAACTTTTCATTAGTCTCCAATGGGACTCAGCTGGGGGACGGGGCATGGCCTGGTCCCCAGGCTTTAAGCCCTCCAATCGCTGGAAATGGCCTATGTCCGTTAGCGATCCACATACCAGCTGCCTAAGATATTTAGGTGAAGGGCACGTAAGTGACCAGTGCCATACCTGCAAGTCCTTTAAACCTAGGGCGAAGAAGGAGCACGATATCCGTCTGAAAGCACTCCTAATGGAGTCAGCACTCACTCCAGCACCGGAGCAGTGGACCGACTCCACACTGAGCACGCAGCCTCCGTGTGCAGTGCTCTGCCGGTGCTGTCCACAAGCTGGCACCAGTCCCTCTCCATGGCTCCGGGGAAGAAGCCGTAAAAGACTGGGAGGGGAAGTTCTCCTACCTCCCGAAAGGAAAAGGAGAGGGCTGGGGGTGAGTCACAACCTTTGCCGGGCAGCTCAACACCCTCTTTGGGAAGTTGGGCCCCAGCTCAAGTTGACCGGTGTAGTCCATCCCATGCTTCGCCTGTGACCCCAGATAGCGGTGCAGGCCCTACCCAGCTTCAGGTGCCATTGTTGCCTGAAGCTCTTCGAGTGGCTCAAGAGATCCTGATGCTCCTGGTGCCACCCACACCGGCTCCCACGTACCCTGGTCTTGGGGAAAACCCAGGTTGGGACCTATGTGTGTGTCCCTGCCTCAGCGGTACCAATCCCACCATTGAAAGGGACATACCACCAGCGTTTGCCTGCCCGAAGCCGTCATGCCTCAGGACTGGAGAGGCAGGCTCCGTGGAGCCTGGGGGACACCGATCGAAGGACTCGAGGCGTACCTCACCAGTAGATTGACACAGACTCTCTGAGGCAAGAGCCACCCGACAAGAACTCCAGTAGCAGCCCTGACCATCTCCAAGGGCCCAGAATTGATCCTTGGACCAACTGGACACCAGAGACCGCTGTTTGGTTGGCCATCATCGCCTGTCTCCAAGAAGGAGGTCACCCTACTCAGGACGATCCTCCCAGCAGCTGGCCCATAGTAACTCTCGGTCCTGTTTGACGTCCTGGTACTGGTTGAGAGCCCAACCAAGACAGTCTTGCTCAGACAGGTCGGCACCAGTTGGACAAGAGCCACTGCTCAGCCCGAACCTGGTCGCCCAGTACTGACTGCACTGCTGGTAGCTCCTGCTCGGAGCAAGGTTCCCTGACTTCAGGACAAGCCCCGGTACTGGTGGTGCCGACTACATTATCGGCACTGAAACCTGTCCTGTGGCCCCAAGCGCAGTGTCTGGCACCATGGTATCCATGGAACCCTTGGGAGTTCTCCCAACCTTTCCAGGGTGCTCGATTGGTGTTGGGAGTCTTGAAGAGGCCAGTGGCCTTGATATCTCATCCTCCTCCAGTGCTCGAGGCTTCAGGGGGTAGGACCCAGGAGGACCCAGGGGAGCAAACTGCTGGACCACCAATGGACGTGCAGGTTCCAGTGGCACCGGCATCGTCCTTGCTGGACAAGGCTATCACGGAGCCCCCTCACCCAGTTCCTCAGGATGATGCCAAAGTACACCAGGAGCTTTTGAAGATGGTTGCTTCTAATCTCAGGCTTCAGGCAGAGGAACTGGAAGAGCCCTCAGACTCTCTGTTTGATGTCCTCTGCTCCTCGGCCCCTTCCAGTGTGGCTCTACCCCTTCATGAAGGGGTTTCCAAAATCACTAATACCTTGTGGCAGACTCCCCCTTCCCTGGCCCCTGTCTCAAAGGGCTGAACGCAAGTACTTCGTGCCAACCAAAGGGCATGAGTACTTGTACTCCCATCCACCCCCTAATTCCTTTGTGATTGAGGCGGTTAACCACCAGGAGAGGAAAGGACAACCGGGGCGACCAGTGGTGAGCTGGAGCCGGTTCGCAGTGGTTTGCTAGAACCGATTGTTAAATTTAGAAGCCCTTTTAGAGCCCTTTTAGAGCCTGGAGCACCCAAGGAGAAAATTTGGTGGGTGCAGAGCACCCACTGGCAGCTCCCCACCCCATCCCCGGCCCCAGCACACCTCCGCTCTGCCTCCTCCCCTGAAAGCGCTGCCCCGTTCTGCTTCTCCCCCCCTCCAGGCTTCCCGCGAATCAGCTGTTTGTGCGGGAAGCTGGGGCAGGCTGAGAAGCAGGTGGCGGCTTCCATTCAGGCCCGCGGAGGCGGAGGTGAGCTGGGGCGGGGGGGCACGAGGAGGGCCGCCCGCACCACAGCAGGTAACCTGGGTGGTGGGGCGCAGGGGAACCGCTCCCTGCCCCAGCTCACCTCCATCACCCTCGGCCTGAGCGGGAAGCCGCTGCCTGCTTCTCAGCCCTCCCAGGCCTCCCACCAAACAGCTGATTCGCAGGAAGCTGCAGGGGAAGGGGGCGCGGAGAAGCAGAGCGGGGCAGTGCGTTCAGGGGCGGAGGCAGAGTGGAGGTGAGCTGGGGCTGGGTGTGGGGCGGGGAGCTGCCTTGGGTGCTCCAGCCCCAGAGCACCCCCAGAGTCGGCACCTAAGGCGCCACTTTTGATGTGATCAGTGGGGGGAGCGGCCCCCTGCTCCCCCCCAGCTATGATACCTCGCCCCTAGGAGCCAGAGGGACCTGCCGGATGCTTCCTGGGAGCTGCCGCAGGTAAGCACCGTTGGGACTCCCCATCTCACCCCCCGGCAGGTCCCTCTGGCTCTTAGGGGTGGGGTGGGCACCCACTACGGTGGCCCACGAGACCCTCCTGCCCAGTTCTGAGGGCAGTCAGGGGACAGGGGAAGGGGGTGGATGGGGCAGGGATCCTGCGGGGGGGGGCCGTCAAGGAATGTGGGGGGTTGGATGAGGCAGGAGTCCCCGGGGGTGGGGGTGGGCAACGACCCCCTCATGGGGTGAGGAGGGAACTTGTTGTTAAGATTTTGGCAGCTCATCACTGGGAGCGACCCCCAAAAATAAAGACTCGATAAGGTTGGATCTCTTTGGATGTAAGGTTTATTTGTCTTCCAGTCTTAGCTGAGAGTGGCCAACCACCAAGCCCTCCTGCTGATAAGACTTCAATATGTGGCAAGCCATGGCCAAGTTCGAAGGGTCGCTCCCTGAGGCTTCCAAGAAGGAGTTCCGAGTGATCCTTGATAAGGGCACTACTGAGATGAGGGCAGCCCTCTAGATGGCATCGGATGCTGCTGATGCTGCTGCCCGCCCCGGGCTTCCGCTATCTCCATGCGGCGAGTCTCTTGGCTGCTTCTGTCGGGTTGTCTACTGAGTCATTGCTGGACCTGTCCTTTGGTGGAGGGGCCCTATTTGCGGAGCAAACAGACAGCAAGTTGCATGGTCTTAAGGACTCCCACACCTCCCCGAAAACCCTGGGTCTCTAGGTCCCAGCCCTGGTGCGTAAGTGGTTCAAACCGCAGCAGCTTAAGGGCCGGGGAGCCAGCCTCGGCAGGACCAGCCCCATAAATGAGCCAAGGGTTACAAGCGCCGCCCGAGCCACCCACCTTCACCATCTGCGCAGTCGGGCTTGACCCATAATAAGCAGGGGGCCAAATGGTCGTTTTGAGGGTGTTCCTGAGGGCAACCTACCAGACTATTCCCCGGATCCGTCTTTCCCAGTGTTCTCTGACTGCCTTTCCCCTTTCCTCCCGGCATGGACCGCTATAACTTTGGACTACTGGGTCCTCAGCACAGTGGAACAGGGTTATACCCTCCAGTTCCTCTCTCCCCCACACTTCCCATCCGCCTTCCCCGTCCCTCTTCAGGCACCCCTCTCATGAGAGTTTCCTCACGCAGGAGGTAAAGGGGTTACTATAGCTGGATACGGTGGAAGAAGTTCCTCGTCAGTACAGGAACAAGGGGTTCTATTCCCAGTACTTTTTAATCGAAAAGGCCAAGGCAGTCTACGGCCCATCCTGGATCTGTGAGACCTCAACAAGTACCTACAGAAGCTAAAGTTCCACAAGGTCTCTCTGGCTTCTATTATCCCCACCCTGCATCCAGGAGTCTGGTATGCTGCCCTCAATTTGAAGGACGCACACTTCCACATAACGATCTTTCAAGGACACAGACGCTTCCTCCAGTTTATGGTGGGACCACACTACTACCACTTTACGATCCTCCCATTCAGCCTGGTGACAGCACCGAGGGTGTTTACCAAGTACATGTTGGTGGTAGCGGCTTACCTCAGACTCCAGGGTATACAGATCTACCTGTACCTTGACGACTGGCTCATCAAGAGCAACTCCGGGTCTCAAGTCCGAAGGGATGTCATGGTGCTTCAAGCCACATGGTGCTCTCTGGGCCTACTGGTGATTGACAAAAAGTCAACGTTAGTGATAGTGCAGAGGATAGAGTTCATTGGAGCGGTCCTCGACTCTACCTGTGCCAGAGCGTTCCTGCTGCCGGAAAGGTTCCACACGATGGCAAATCTCATCGCAGAACTCTCCATGTTCCCCGCCATGGCCTGTCTGTGCCTGTTGGGCCACATGGCAGCGTGCACTTATGTGGTCCATTCCAGGCTCCATGCGGCCCCTGCAATGGCTGGCCATGGTCTGTTCCCAGTCCTGAGACCCCCCGAAGAAGATCGTTCCCATTCCCCAGGCGATACTTACCTCACTGCAATGGTGTACCGATCGCAGGACAGTCCTGGAAGGGGTTTCGTTTGACAGCCCTCCTCACTCCATTGAGTTGGAGTCAGACACCTCAAACCTCGGCTGTGGGGCACATCTCGGCAACCTCCAGACACAGGGAATGTGGTCCCTAGAGGAGGCATGGTTACACATAAATGTCAAAGAGCTCCAAGCAGTCTGGCTGGCATGAGGAGTCTTCTTACCCCACTTGTCGGGCAAGGTGGTGTGAGTCCTGACGGACAACACAGCCTCAATGTTCTACATCAACAGGCAAGGGGGAGCGCGCTTGTTGGCTCTCTGTCAGGAGGCATGTTGTCTGTGGGACTTCTGCATCAGCCACGAAATCCACCTGGAAGCTTGTCACATTCCCGGCATCAGGAATATGCTGGCAGACCAGCTCAGCAGGGACTTCTCCTCTCACTACGAGTGGTTGCTCCATCCAGAGGTAGCCTGCATCATCTTCCAAAGGTTGGGAATTCCCCAAGTGGACTTGTTCGCTACCAGACAGAACACGAAATGCCACCAGTTTTGTTCTCGACAGGTCTGAGCAAGGACCCCCTCTCTGATGCCTCCTCTCATGGTCAGGGAGTCTGATATACGCATTCCCTCTGATTCCACTCATAAGCAGGACCCTAGCAAAGATCAAGAGAGACCAGGCACAGATTATCATGATTGCCCCAGCATAGCCTCACCAGCATTGATTTGGCATGCTCATGAGCCTGTCAGCGGCTCCTTCCTGGCCCCTGCCCAACTGACTGGACCTGCTGTTGCAGGACCACGGTCAGCTCTTGCACCCCAACCTCAGGTCCCTCCACCTCTCGGCATGGATGCTGCATTGCTGAACCTGGAGGAACGGACCTGTTCAGAAGGAGTCCAACAGGTACTCCCGGAAAGTAGGAAGCCCTCAACTAGACTGAGTTACCTGGCCAAGGGGATGAGGTTTTTCCCGCTCAAGTGGATGAGGTTTTTCCTGCTGGGCATCCAAACGAGGCGTCTCTCCCTCATGTTCCTCCATACAGGCTGTCCTGGACTACCTGTCCATTTGAGGAACCAGGGCCTGGCACATGTTTCCATTAGAGTGCATCTTGCAGCCATCTCCGATTTTTACCCGCCGATCCAAGGACAGACGTTGTTCTCCTATGACATGACGGTCAGATTCTTGGGATTCCCGCAAGTGCTGGCTTCTGTCCTGCAGTGGTCCTTTCTAGGCTCATTGGGCCCTTCCCCATCTGTCATGGAAGGTCGCGTTCCTTGTGGTGGTGATGCCAGCGAGACTCAGAACTGCAGTACACAGTATCTTCTGCAAAGATAAGGTTCAGTTGCAGCCCCACCTGGCCTTCCTGCCAAAGGTGGTCTCCATCTTCCATATGAACCAAGACATCTTCCTCCTGGTGTTCTGTGCCAAACCGCACAAGACCAGTGAAGAGAGGCATTTTCATGCCCTGGACGTCCAGAGGGCCTGGGCTTTTTACTTAGAACGTACCAAGCCTTTCCGTAAATCGCTACAGTGGATAGGATGAAGGGTCACACGGTGTCCTTGAAGAGGATTTCCAATTGGATCACCGCATGCATACAGACCTGTTACGACTTGGCGGAGGGTTCCACTGCTGCCAATTGTCAGAACCCACTCGACGAGAGCTCAGGTGTCTTTGGCGGCCTTCCAGGCACACATCCCTATCCAGGATGTCTGTAGAGCTGCAATGTGGTGCTCAGTCCACGCATTTACTGCTCGTTATGCCATCACTCAGCAGGCTGGCGACAACACCGGGTTCGGCAGAGCTGTGTTGCAATCTACATGTCTGTGGACTCCTGCCCACCTCCAGGGGTATTGCTTTGGAGTCACCTAATATGGAATGGACATGAGCAAGGACTCAAAGAAGAAAAGATAGTTACCTTTTCCATAACTGGTGTTCTTCGAGATGCGTTGCTCATGTCCATTCCATGACCTGCCCTCCTTCCCCACTGTCGGAGTTGCTGACAAGAAGGGAGCTGGAGGTGCCCTTTATACCACACCATGTGGGTGCCACTCCAGAGGGCGCCAGAGCTGGTCCCCTATGGATATTGCTGTGGGAAAAACTTCTGGCACCTATGCATGTGGCAAACACACACCCCTAATATGGAATGGACATGAGCAACACATCTTGAAGAACACCAGGTATGGGAAAGGTAACTGTCTTTTCATTTTAGATTTTTCTTTGTGTGTGTAAAGACTGCCTGCGATAGCAGAGAACATAATAGCCTGTACCATAGAAGTTGTTAATATGTTAATTTTTTGCAACTTCATTTCCAGGTAAAAGAAATAGAGGACTTCATTACCCATTGGTGTAAATTGGTGCAGCTTTGTTGAAGTCAATGGAGCTGTGACAGTTTACACCAATAGAATTTATTCCAGAGTTTTCAGAAAAAAATAAACTTGTTCCTTGTGATCCTAGAGTGTGTTCATATATGCAGCTTGGAGAATCCAGGGAATTTACAGGCCAAAGGCATGAAAATCCTCGGTAGACATTAAACAATAATATGGCTACACTTGCAGCATATTGGCTTTCAAACAAAATTTTCATCAGTGAGATTCCCAGGCTTCATTTTACGTTATAAAACAGATTGTAAGTTCTCCACAATACCTTTAACTCTGGATTTCCATGTTTTCCAATGTGTACTTTTGCAAAAGATGAACCTTAACTTAGAATTACCATGTTTTATAAATGTTGTGTTTTGGGGTTTCTGGCATTTGCGTACAGATACAAATGTACAAACTTAATTCCCCATACTGCCTTTTATCCCTTACTTAGTTCTACCAACTTTCGCTCCCCTGGATTGAGGATCCGGAGCATATATTTTACCCCCGGGTAGTATTTTTTATAATAATGTTATTTTATGGTTTTCCCTTGCTTTGTGGGTCTGTAATGTGATGTGAGATGTTCAGGATGGACACAGAGAAATAAACAATTCTTGGAAAACCAGTCATTGTAGGATATTTAATCATAGTGGTCCTTCTCTGCTTGCCTTGTTCAAGCTGAGTAGTACGTTATTTAGTGAGCAGTCTCATTGATTTCCCCCTTGGGACTACTCACTGAGTAAGATACTTCTCAGCCTAAGTAAGAGTAGCAGAATTGGGACAATTATTATTTAGTAGATGAATTTTAAAAATATTTAACATAGTAGCATGTTATTTAGAAAATTAATTTCGTTTGGAGCCCTGTTCTGAATGGCTGTAAATAATCATTTGCTACAGTTGAAGGTTTTTTTTAATCAACTGATATTCTTTTGTGTTACTGTGTTGTAATAATGATTTCTCAAAGGAGTGAATTCTTTCACAGGGATGTGGCTTCACTATACTACAGTCCATGCTCCAAAGAGCTTGCAAGCTAAGGCCCTCGTCTAGCAAACACTTAGGCACGTGCATAACTTTACACACACGGCTAATCCATTGAAGTCAGTGGGATAGCCCACATGCATAAAGTTACACATGTTCTTAAGTGTTGGTAGGATCAAGGTTCAAGAAACTTCTGATTACTTTGGGCAAGATTGTGAATCCCTTGCTCACATTGGTAAGCAGTTACTCATAGCAGTAGTCCCACTGACTTCAAAAGGATTTCATGTGCAAATAAATGATTCATAATTTAGCCCTCAGAGCACATTCAAAAAACTAACTTCTCATACTCCTCCTGCATCCAGAAGAACTGTATTCCTTCCTCTGGGTACACGTTAATGGAACATCATGCCTCTATTATGTTGTAATATTGCAATGTATTCTCAAGAGAAGAACTTTGGAAGTCATCCAGACTATCCACGGAGTAAATAAAAAGCATTGTACATTGTTTAAATCATAAGTTAAATGAGTTTTGAACATACAGTAGTTTTGGTTGGAAAGATAATCTGCTTGAAGTGATACCGTGACATTATGATTTTAGTGAGTTCTCTTTTACTTTCTGATAAGAATAAGCCCTTTCAAATAATACTTTTCATTTCATTTAATTTTGGCCACTTTATTATAAAAATCACTGAGATTTGATTACAGAAAATGTCTCTTTTTAGAACAGACATGTTTTTCTATTAGTGCAAGAAGAGGTAATATACACTGTTGTTTTCAACAAAATATTTAAAAGTGCATGTAATTATTATAACATTATCTAGATATATTTTGGTAGTTATTAAAATGAAAAATCAGAAGCAAAATAGAAACCCTTTATAATTCTGACATGGAATTCGTTTCTAAAGTGGTTCTTTTTTGATTAAAGCTAAAATGTTAGAAAAATTGTTTTTCACATATTACCCAAGCAAAATATTTATTTAGACAATATAAAGTGTTTGCAAATATTTTATTAGATCTAAATGTTGCTTTGTTTGCTGTTTTGAGATTACTCTTAATGATCCCTTTTTCTCCTCTATGGAGCCGCCTTAATATATCATACGTTATTTTTATAACTTTTTGGGGATGTTTATTCTGAAGTAGAGATTCTTCCTGGGGATTCCATTGCCACCAGAAATGTAGAAATACTAAGCAATATGCTAACAGAACAATAGTTTTTCTTTCTCTTGTCTTCATTACTGATAGCCTGTGCCTGGAATGCTTTTTTCACTGACAAACTTTGGTACTGTATGTTTCTAAGATTCTTCTTCTATTCTTGTTTGTCCAAAATAATATTTGTAGTAGTGTAATACTGTTTAAATAGGAAATCTATAAAAATCACATTTTTCCTACCTTCGTCCCAAAGTTGTATGAAAATCTCTTGGCATTTGTGCAATAGTTGGAGTCGGAGGAGCAGTGAAGCTGGTGGGGCGTCAGAGGACAAGAAAAAAGGATAATGATGGAAATGCCTATAAGTGGGGTTGCTATAGCAATGCCTGGAGGATAATTCTTCTGGGCTGCTGAGAGGTTTCCTTGGTAAAGGCCTGTGTTTCATTTAGCTTCTGATTCTGATTGAATTAGGGCATCTCCAAAATACAGAAGTCAATATAACTGGTGAAACATGACTGAAAATAAAATAAAGACTATGTATTATTTTATTTATTTAGGGATTCTCCTTCCCCCAATGTCCCATACTGAAATGATGATATTTGTTTAATGGTGTTTAAAAGAAAAATGGTATTTTGTGTCCTGGTCTAAGAATGAACACTCGCAGTATTTTCATATGGTAGTTATCAGTACTGGTCACTGAAAGTGATTATGGGTCAGTGAGTATTTCTATGACTTCAGTGGGAATACTGACATGAGGAAAGATGGAAATGTCTGCAGGATCCTATAGACCTTATTCAAGCAAAACTCCCATTTGAATCCATATGAATATTGCTTGAATAAGGACTGCAAGAATGGGCACTGAATATGAGTGTGGAGTTATCACTGTGAGCTAGCTTCATATCAGTGGAGAAAAACTGGTGCCTTTTTGACATAGATTTGGTAGCAGTCTCATAAGATTAACATGTAACCACTATGCTGACAAGTTTTCATTTTTGAGATAGATGTATATTGTAAGGAATGTGCAGAGATGTGAGGCTTAGGGTGAAATCCTGACTTCATTGAAATCAATGTTAAAACTCACATTGACTTCACTGAAGGCAGGATTTTACCTTTAATGCTCAGGTATTCATGGCAGCCCAAAGAGAAGTCTCAAAATCTGTTAGTCACACTCCTTAAGGGTTCATGTCTTTTTAACCCTCTCTTCTTTCATTCTGACATTAAAAAGCATTTGATTATTTTCTTGTTAATAAAATAAAATAAAATAAAGCTTCGAACCAGCTCCAGTAAGCCTTCCCTTTCTGGTATCTAGAGCAGTCAACTCATAACGACCATCAGTACATCAGTACCATTACAAGGAGTAGTGGTCTCAAGTTGCAGTGGGGGAGGTTTAGGTTGGATATTAGGAAAAACTTTTTCACTAGGAGGGTGGTGAAACACTGGAATGCGTTACCTAGGGAGGTGGTGGAATCTCCTTCCTTAGAAGTTTTTAAGGTCAGGCTTGACAAAGCCCTGGCTGGGATGATTTAATTGGGGATTGGTCCTGCTTTGAGCAGGGGGTTGGACTAGATGACCTCCTGAGGTCCCTTCCAACCCTGATATTCTATGATTCTATGATTCTTCTGTGGTCTATTAACACACTGTCAAGGGTTTCATATCCTGTGTTGGACCTTGTAACTTGGAAATCATGTTCTGGAGTGCGGGATATTTTGGACCCTGAAGTGTCAGTTTGGCTGATGTAAAAATCCCTTGTTCCTGAGCGATTAGGAGTTTGTTGTGATGAAAACAACTCTACTTCAGGCTGGATAGCACTACTTTGGTTATGGTTATTCAAGGTTTTCAATACAAATCTCTATTTTCAGTTCAGAAAAAAGAAGTGTCTCCTGTAGAAACCTGCATGGACCTCAGAGGGAGTGTAGCACATGAAACATCTTTTTTTTGCTGTTCCTTACTTCTAGAATGCTCACCATAACCTCGAGTGGCAAGCAATTTCCTGCTCCTCTTCAGAACATGCTTCCTCAGTGAAGCCTCCCAGTGTTAATTCACTACCGAAAGAAATGCTATTATCAAGGCTTAAAGTGGGCTAGGTCACCTATGGTTAATGTCCCAGCCAAAACAAATGGAAAGCTCTGAGGTGTCTCTGGGTTTGGGGCGAGAGTTGTGCTGGCGAAGAGGGTACTGCATGGCTGAATCTAATGCAATGCTTTCTGACTGGGAAACAGAAAGTGCAGTATCATCCATCCCCAGGGGAGTATTTTCCTGATCATTTCAGGAAATGCTGCTGTTCTCAATGCTGCCATAATAGGTATTTAGGACACAGGGCACAAATGTACCAGGAATGGATTGCACATACATTTGAGGTTGGAAATAAATCATCTGGGTCTAATTTGGATTTTGCTCTGATTTTAGAACTCTTGGAGTTAGCAATACTGCATTTTCCCATTTGTTGGCAACACCCCAGACTCTGCTGCAGATGCAGACATGCTACACACCCCGGTCAGCAAAATCAGATCATTTTCACATTTGCATCCACTCTGCTGTTGCTGACTAGTATTACAACTACTTCTCTGCATGTTGCAAAGGAAGCTAAGGAAAAGGGCGCTCATAGATCAGACAGACTTCTCTGAGACAGCATTATGACCGTGGCTGGCCTGTGTCAGCTAACTTGGGCTTGTGGGGCTCAGGATACAGGGCATTTTAATTGCAGTGTAAACATTCGGGCTCAGGCTGAAGCCTGGGTTCTTGGATCCTCCTCCCTTGCTGAATAATTTGTTCCACCTTGTATTTATCTATGACACTCAGAGTATGTTTCTTAGCCCTAAAGAAGAACCTCAGTGTAAGCTGGAAAGTTTGTCTCTCTCACCAACAGAAGTTGGTTCAATAGAAGATACTGCCTCACCCACCTTGTCTCTTTGATCATCACCCATTGGCATTTATTGGCTTCCTTTCTGGCAGTCTCAACAGAGAGGCTTGGAGTTAGATGGGTATTGAAAATGAAGTACCTTGTCACCCTGAGAGACGATCCATCTAGGTCAGGGTGGAGGCATGCGGAGGCAGAAGCTTGTGCTGCTTCTGCTGTACCCGATCTGTGAATAAAGCAATTAGGCTACTAGGGCTGCCAATCTGGCACCTTTCACAAGCACTAAATTCACTTCAAATAATCACCTCAATTGTTGATTATACTGATTTTAGCTAATAACCAGCTTTAGATTAGTGCCTTGAAAGGCAGATTAAATGCATGTAAATCTCTTGAAAACTATAGCAATGATTTTGCAATAGGAGGTTGTTTTTATTTGCAACTTTACTCACTTCATTGAGAATAGTATGAAGGAAGGTAATATAATCCACACAGGTCAAACAATTCTCTGTGCAATATCAGGATTTCAGAGTGGAGAAAGCCTCAGGTCACCACACTGAAATGAGGATTGTTGTCTGCTGATGGTCGTTATGAGTTGACTGCCCTAGATACCAGAAAGGGAAGGCTTACTGGAGCTGATTCGAAGCTTTATTTTATTTTATTTTATTTTATTTTATTAACAAGAAAATAATCAAATACTTTTTAATGTCAGAATGAAAGAAGAGAGGGTTAAAAAGAAAAAAATACATATACATCCCAATGAATACAGGCTAGGACAATAATCATTTAGCAGAAACAGAGGGGAGAATGAACACATGCATTGAAATCCCCAAGGAGATTAAGACAAAGGTTAATAAAGGTAATAAGAACAATAAAAGAGCTGCTGTTCACAGGGGAAATGCTGTAGGGATGAAATGCAATTATAATCCGTGTATGGGGCTAAATATGCTCCTGTGCTACCAATAGTGGAGAACAAAATGTAGCAGACCCAGGCAGGCATGCTGCAGAAGTGGGGGACAGCTGGTTCTATAGTGTGTGCCTCTCCACCTGCAACCGTTCGGAAACCCATGTGTGAGTATGCTGCAGGGACTGGCATCCACAGATGGGAACAAGGGGGACAGGTTGTAGAGAAGTCACTGTCTGTAGCATCATCCCAAACCCTCAACCCCATGTATATTTTCACCATAAATTAATGTTGATTCTCTTTGCATTAATTTATGTGGGTTCTCTCACAGATCAGGGAACCCTCCCAGGGGATTGTGGCAGCAGCAGTTGGTGACACAATGAGAGCACAACTCCTGAAGGTGCTGCCATGAATTTGGGCCAGGAGATAGTACAGACGCACTGGGCTTCTGTACAGATGGCGCTGTCTTCCACTGATCTCCTGAAATCTGTGTGTTCCAAGTAGCAACCCCCATTCCAGATCCATGGAGTAGCGGCGGGGAGGCAAATCAGGCTCCCAGAAAGTGCCATCAGTGAGTCCAAACTAATTTGTTCCTCCTCTCTAAATGAGAATAAACTGAACCAGGGAGGATAGGCTTTTAGTTTGTAAATGTAAATAAGTGCATTTCCAACTCATTTTTCTGTTACATATCCTCAGTGTAAGTGAACAATTATTGTGAAGCTAGCAGTAAGTTTACTTCTTGAAAAAACTTGCAGGCACATAGTCCAGAATCTGTTTCAATATCATTTTACCCAGTTTTCTTCTTTTGTGCTGACCTCTGCAACAGTTTCCACCAGAAAGTGATTTTGACATTGCTGTAGTTTTCTTGGGAAAGTCTGTGGTATATTAATCCTTTGGTATCCTTATAGAACTGTAAATATGGCACGTTGGCAGGCACAATAAGCTCTCTTGTTATGTGTGAGAGGGAGCTGCTGGCAAGTTGTTCTTCATGAGAACTCCTAGATTTTTGAATTTATTCCTCACCTTGGTCAGAAATAGCCCAAATATGTCAACTGTGCAGGCACGCTGCAAGCCTGTCTGTTGTTGTGGGATTTTGAGGAGGGTAAGAGTATAGGATGATTGGAACAGAATTTGAGGCAGAATGTCCTATTGATTCATTTATTTTTAATACTTGACTATACCTGGATTTGTTAAGGGGTAAAGCTGATTTGGGTGATTGACTGATTTCGTACATGATTTTAAGAGATGGCAGGGCTCCTAGAGCTTTGGATGGTCATCTTTTCTGTTTTAGAAATGGGAAAAAAATAAAATATTTATAGCAAACTCCATGCCGGCAATAACCACAACTGCCCTTGTCCTAATCAAGCCAACAACCATCTACTGCATATAAAAACAGATGATATACTGTACTTTTACTTTTCTGTCTCCTCAACCATGTCCACCACTTGGAGAAGGTTTCACGCTCTCCAGATAACAGACAGACCAGGTCTCAGAGCCAGGACACTAACTGACCACTAAAGCCTGATAAAATGTCTTCAGTTTTTTCCCTTCACCACAAAAAAAAAAAAAAAAAAAAAAAAAAAAG